CGACCGATGCCTTATTTCGGTCTACCGAAGTGACCTTCCCTCAAAAACCAGCTTTCAGGAAAATTTATGTCCATTTTTGTTGTCCAAAATGCCATTTCGGTCGACCGAAATAGCTCTCATACACCAGCCTTCCAGATTTTGTTTCAGCATTGTTATTCCGATTTCAAACGGTCATATCTCCTTCATTTCCAATCTAAATGGGGTGATTCTTGAGCCTAAATTCATGGATTTTGAGTCAAATTTCCAATGATACCAATGCCATTCTCAGATTCAAATCATAGTGGGAGTTATTTAAGTTTTAGTGAAGTGGTGCCAGGATTTGGTTCGAACAGGGAAAGGGCGTTTTGTGGAATTCTTGTCTAAAGTACTTAGAACCTCTTGGAATGTTGTCAAATAATTAGTTTAGGTTGTGTGGACCTTATTTGACTTGCTTGGAGTTAAATTTCTTTTATTAGTTGTAAATTGACCATTTTGCTCATAATTAATGGGTTTTGCTCGTATTTCTTCATCTTGTCGTTTCTCCTTCGTTCGGACTCCGAATCATGCGATCCTTGAGTCCATCTGGATTAGTTTTTCATTCTATTTCCAGTGGTGTATTCGGTGGCACCTGAATCCATATTTTTAGAAATGACTATTTTGTCCCTAGGGGCTAAATTGTTATTTTTCCTATCCCTTGCCTGCACACTTTATTCCTTTGGGTTTTATGACCTCGTGGAAGGTCATCGTAGCATCTTAGAGGTGTGTTATGCTTTGGGAGACCATTGTTTTGTTTCTTGCTTCTACATCTGGATCCGTTATCAGGTTAATCTTTGGTTCATCACAAGACACACTGGGTTGAAAAATCCAAGGTCGTTACATACCTTAAGTCTTCTATATACTTTTAAGTCTATTAGTAATTGTAGCCTCACACAGTCTTTACTTTCGTGTATAATTGGTCGAAGGATATTTTGATTTGTGGGCCTAATTTGTACCTTTGCAAATTTTTAAACCAATTATAAAATAATTTTGTTTATAACATTAATCATATATTTACCTTGAGAAAAATTCAAAAATGTGTACTCAAGTCATTTTAAGGTTAAGGCAATTAAGTCATTTGTCAAAAACTGGTTAACAATTTTTACATATAATCTTAATGGAGAAGATTCGTTGAGCACATGTGTCTGACCTTTAAGACAACACGGTGTAATAAACATCAAATATGACTATATATAATTAGACCAAACTTCAGAAGAGAAAAATATAATTTAACCTTAAAATTTTATAAGATATAAAAATAAGAGAATTTCCAAACAAGGTTACAAGCCCATTTGATCTTTTATAATACTATTTAGTAATTAAAAATACAAATTGTAGCATAAAATTTTTGCTGTTTAGATATTTTAATGAAAATCACTAAATATATTATTGCCGTGAGTATTACGAACAAAACCAATTATGCTACTTGCGGAAGCCTTCTATTCCTTTCCAATTGTCAAATCAATGGTAAACTAATCGCGTAGAAAAAATGGACGGTCTTAGTCTTCCACTTTGATAATCCTTTCAGCTCCTCGTAAGAGTCAATTTTGATAGTTGTTCATATCATTGTATTTTGTATTGATGTAGGACATAATAGAAGCCTTCTATTCCTTTCCAATTGTCAAGTCAATGGTAAACTAAGCGTGTAGAAAAAATGGATGGTTTGAGTCATCCAGTTTCTCTCTCTTAGCATTTTATACAAATAACATTATACGTGTTGTTTCATAAGTATATATAATTGATGGGATATATGCACTTGATAAAAGCAGAAAGTGAACCAATTTTTCTTTTAGTAACTCTAATTTCACTCTCCATCAAAATAAGGAACAAATAAAAAAAATACTTCCTCCACTAATTAACCAAAAATATCATTTATAAGTTGATTAAATAATATAATATTAATTTGATATCTATTAACTTAACCTATCACCTGCTAGTGTCATGACAAGGCTCATTCTTATTGTGATTTTAAGGAAGCCCATAAAAAATTCCAACACCTAATTAAACCTTTTGGGATTGATTGTCTCTAATATTATTCAGGTACCTAATAATCTATCTCTCTCAACATGTGAAGTTATAGTAACGGCAATTAAAAACATTGTATCATTTTGATAATAGTCTTAAATTGAAATTAACAAAATTTAGTAAAGTGGCAGCCCTCGCTCAATTTAGGTGAGATTGATCATTGATCTCTAATAAATGAATGCTTGCTTTCATTTCGTAATGGCTATGCTATGGTTGAGTGGTATTTTTGGTTTACTTCAATCTGTTTTAATTTTGCGTCGTAGATTTGGTTGCTGTTACTGCCGATCCCATCCATCAATCTTTGGTTCACTTGATTGTTGAAGCTGTGAGGGTTGGGTGCTGCCTGTCGACTCTGTGTTGGTGTCAGTTGCCTTGTCTTTTCCTTTAAATGCATGTATCTTGATTTTATTATTGTTCATTGTAGTAGCCAAACTAATGTAATAAGGTTGGACCATTCAACAAAAGGGACATTTTCAATCAAAGGTTAGCCATATGTTTTTGAAATGGCTAAAGTCCACTTTTTTTTTATTTATTTATTTTATATTATTAATTTCCCTTATTATTAATTTCACTCTTGATCAAACAAGTAAAAAATTGAAAATGCACCTACAGGTTCAATTGGTTAGTTATCAGTGAAGTAATATGTTTTTTTGGTTTAAAAGAGACCATACACATTGTTCGTTCAAGTCTTTATCACACAATCGGAAAATGCCTAGGGCAAAATTTTGTAAGTGTGATAAGAGATTGAAATAAGAATGGCAATGTAAATGAGATTAAAAATAAAAAAAATAAAAAAATTCTTAAAAACGGAGATATTAATCAAAAAAAGGGTCTTAAATGAGAGTTTTAAGCCATCTGACTGCCCATTTTAAATGGACTCTGGCCAATTCCATTCCCTCATAATCCACTGAGAGAGGAACTAGCATTCTTCAATTTGGTTTGGTTGATAAAATTGGGGATTTCTCACTAGTTCCTCAATTTACTCTGATTACACATACGCGCGTATCTATGTATTTGCATATTTTGGGATTGAGGGAGTCTATTTGTCAATTTATTAATTCTTACTGAGAATAGAATGGTTATTTTACATCTCAAGAAGTGAAATGGGCATTCCTTAAGAATTGGCCATTTCATTTTTAACATGACACATCAAACAAAAGAATAAAAATAAATGTATTTTATTTCACTTTTATTTAATTTCATTTATTCACACCAACCATAACCTTAAAGTCTAAATTTTAAAATTTCATGTTCGACTTATTTAACCCGCTGTAAGTCTCTCTGGTAGCGGAGAAAATTTACTACAGACAAGGAAGTTATACCGAACAAACCTTTTTCCTTCCTAAGGGTTATTCTAGTAAATAACGTCACTTTCAATCCAGCTAATCTTACCACATCCAAATCCAGTGTAGAAATTTTGTACCCAATTTAGAATAGCTTTTTCCGATCTGACAAGCATGTTCTTTCTTTCTCAAAAATATCTCTGGCTCACCATATTTTAATATTTGGAGTTTTGAGAATTAACCAATTCTATTGAAATTTTACATGAAATTTGTATGTAATTTTCCAAAATTTAAAAAATGGGCAACAAATTTTTTTTTTTTTATTTTTTTCTTCTTTTTAGTTACTATTATCGATCAAATGATTTACTTTTACTCTTATGCTTCTGATCTTGCTCCTCCACGTGAGCATAAACCTTTGTGTACTTGGCACATCATTGTTAAAATTATTTTGTTTGCCGCTAGTTCAGGCAAAAGGGTCATTTACCAATTTCGTCCGACCGTTAAAATAACTTCAACCCAATGTTCACCTGAAAAACAAATCTCTTTGATAGGAGGAAGGAAAAAGGAACAAGAATTTTTTTTCACTTAATAAATGTGATAGGCTTTTGTTGGAACATTGCAAGTGATGTCTAGATTTAAAAGTTAATATCATGAAATACTTCGGTTCTTACTTTTCTAACTTTTCAATTAGTTACTTATAATTTTTATTTGATTTGATTTTACGCATTATTATAATGCTTTGTTATTTAGAGAAAATTATTTGAAATGAATAGGATATTATTTAATCTCTAAGAGATTATTTGATATGCATTTTGTTTTAATCCGAAATAGAATAAGTGTTTTGTTATAGTGAATTTTGAATAATAATTGAAAGTATGTTTGGTAAGGTTCATTTGTTATAATTATTAGTTTAAAAATGTTATTTAAACGTTTTTTTATTACAGTACCAAACGATACAATACGAAAACATATAAAAGTACCAAATTAATTTTTTGATTTTTGGCCACTATTCATAATTTTTTTTTTTCCTAATTAGTACTCATAAACACACACTTCCCACTAAGGTTCGAACCGCTGACTTCTCTTTGAGAAGTAAGATCTTTGTACCGTTAGATTACTGCCTGTTGGTCACTATTCATAAATAAGTACTATACAAAACAAAACAATTTTTACCAAACACATTTTTTTACTTTTCACTATTATAATATCCGACAAAAACAAAAATATTAAAAATTACTTTTATTTAATTTTTTATATTATTGACAAAAAAATTTACTTACATCACTTATACACCTATTTGACTTATTTCAAACGTCACCATCTACTTTTATATAAAAAAAAATAAAAAAATAAAAATAAAAAATAAAAAATACAACGTATACAAGTAGGTCACAAGGCATGTGGTATCCGTACTGACTTGAATCTTACATTTATATCCGTAACAAACAAATAAAGCATCTTAATATAACTCCACATTCAAAATCATAATATTAAAAAGTGGGACCCATTCTTTTGACGCATGGTGGTAGTGAATTATGTGTTGCACGAAATGGTGGCCTATTTCTAGACCATAGAAAAGCTTTGCGTGCACATTCAAAACAACAGTAATGATACATAAGTGGATCTCATTCTTTCAATACCTACTCGCATGACACGAAATGACGACCACTTATATAGTTGTAGTAGTTTAAGATAAGCTTTTCCTATTTGATTAGCAACTTCGACCCATTTTTTTTTTTTTGTTTTTTTAGGTAAATAATTGTATTGAAATGATAAAATTACAAGGTACAAAGCCCAAAAGCAGAGGCCGAAGACAGCCACCAAGCAGACAAGCCAACGAGGCCCATTCAACAGTTGAATAAAGACACTAATATTCTGGAAGCCCTAGAATAGCTATGTCTGAAACAACTATCATTCCGGTGCGGTCAAAGCAATGAGGCAGAGCCTCCGGTGATCAATCCGGCTCCAGCGGTGGTCTAATGAAGGACTGAGGAAGATCCCAATCAAGCATGGTCCTCCTCGCAGAAGGTGAGTCTCTCACACTTACAGATAGTAGTCTCTGTTTCACCAACTCCATAGATCGATTTAACACCCTATTTTGCGATTTTCTTTGGTTTGTGAAGGCCCGTTCATTGCGCTCCATCCAGATCTGGTTGACAGTGGTGAAGGCCCGTTCATGCATCATGTGCCATAGACAAGAAAGTCAAAAAGGAGGTCGTCCACGGGAATTATTAAATTGAAGAATTCATTTCTTCAATGCGCCCTCCGAGTACTGATAATTAGGTTCTCACCATTTCGTTTCTAACCCATTCAAACTTAACAGCAACTCATCACTGCATAAGCCTCTCCTCTCGCACATTTGAAATGGATACAAAGAACCGGAATGTGTTCAAGATCAAGAAGAAGAAGAAGAAGACCAGCAACACTTCATTACCACCATCTTCCAACACTTCTTCATCTTCCACCTCTCCACCTGCTGGAGGATGGGATTATGAAGTTTTCTTGAGTTTCAGAGGTGCAGACACCCGTCAAAACTTCACTGACCACCTCTACCACGGCCTTATGGACGCTGGAATTCACACGTTTAGAGACGACGATGAGCTTCGCTTTGGAGAGAGGATAAGTGATGAGCTTCTCGAGGCAATACAGCACTCAAAGATATCCATCCCAGTCTTTTCCAAAGACTATGCTTCAAGTAAGTGGTGCCTAAATGAGCTCAACAAGATGGTTGAGCGTAAGAGGACTTTGGGGCAATTGATATTACCCATTTTCTACTACGTCGAACCGTCCGACGTGCGAAACCAGAAAGGGAGTTACGAAGAGGCCTTCCAGAAACACGAAGAGAAATATAAAGATGATAGTGCTACTGTGGAGGGATGGAAGAAATCCTTGAGGGAGGTTGGAGAATTGAAGGGATGGAGTGTGAACAATATCAGGTAATTGTGTATATTTATTAATTTTATTTCTATATACTGATTCTGGTATTTTAACACTTCTGATTATTTTCTTTTAGGCTCCTCATTGTTTGAATGTAAAATATTTTTTTATTTTAGGATATTTAATATAAATTCCGCATCTTTGAAATCTGACTTAACAACAATGAAAATTATTAGACTTTTAAAGCATGATAATTGGGCTATGTGTTAATTTACTTGTTAAGTTGCTTATAGACGATGAAAGCATGTTTGATAAACTACGTGACTGGTGATTTTTGTGGTTATTGAAGAATCAAACATATTTGGGGGCTACGGACCATTGGAGCGCGTCTTAAAATACATATTATGTTTGCATGCATGTTTACTTTGACACACAACACCTTATTGCATGAAATGAGCACTCAAGAGGCCAACACTGAATTACTTCATTCTCACTCCCAATCCATTGCAAAGCTTGAATCCCAAATCGGGCTTGGAAGCCCGTTTGAACCCCAAAGGGGAGCTCGTGGAAGCGCGTGGGGAGTGTTCTGGCGCATGTGGTGGCGTGCATCTCCACAACAACAACGATAAAAGATGGCAATGGTGATAGATCCAACAATGATTGTGATAATACAGGTTAAAATGCACATATAATTAGTCAACATAACCTAATTCAATTATCTCAAATAAGCCAATTAAACAAAACAATAGCGTTTTAATGAGTAAAGATTGAATGTTTGAATGAAAATACCTCAATCAAGGTACCTATTATGTCACTATACCTTTTAAATGTATGAAGATTGAATATTTGAAAGAAAATAAGATTAAAACAACTCTAAACAAATGATTAAATCAATGGAACAATTAAATAAAAATTAATTAAATCGTTTAATTAAAATCCCTAGATTTTAAAACTCAGACTTCAAATTCAGTGCTTGAGTACCATCCAAAAGGCTCAAGCATATGCCCAAAAAGCTCGAGCAGAAGAATTTGGTTGTTGTAATTTACGAATAAAGAAAATTTTAAAATCTAACAAATATAACATATCCATCAATTTTTAGTAAGTTATTTTACACGTCCCGTCAGATGAATTCAACCTCAACCTCGACCTAAATCTCTGCCGAATAAAGTAAAAATAAAAAAATATTTTACCTTAAAAAAAAAAAAAATTCCCAAAGAAAATATTTTACTTTGAAACAAACGCAACCTTAATGTAGATTTTCCTTACTAGAACCAAACCAACTATGAACTTGCTTGGTTCAATTCTCTCAAATTAGACACTACTTTAACTTAGTTTGCAAACAATAGATTTTTCACAAATTGTTAACAAATGAATTTTGAAGCTGCTTTCTATTTTTCAGTTTTCTGGGAATAGACAACTACTACTGTTGAAAATTTAAATCAAGTAGGCAATCTATATTTGTGGGTTTTTCCATATATATATATATATATATATATATATATATATATATATTTGACATTAATTATGTTTGGCAGGCCTCAAGGAAAACTGGTAAAGAAGGTTGTTTCAAAGGTATGGAGAGAGCTGAAAAAGAATTACTCATTGGTTGTAAATGAATGCTTGGTTGGAATTGATGATCATGTAGAAGAAATGATGAAATTGTTGAGTGTTAATTCCAACGATGTAAGGATTGTAGGAATCCATGGCATGGGAGGAATCGGCAAGACCACTGTAGCCAAGGTCATCTTTGACAAACTCTCCCGACAATTTCATTCCCGTTGCTTCCTTGAAGATGTTAGAAAAACAGCACAACAACACAATGGTCTTGTTGAGTTGCAAAACCAACTTATATCTAGCATCTTAAAACAGGGACGCCCTGTCTTAATCGGGTCTATGGATGAAGGAATTATTGCAATCAAACGTAGATTTTCTGGAAAGAAAGTTCTTCTTGTCGTTGATGATGTCGATTGCAGTGATCATCTTCGTGCATTTGCACTTTTGGGAAATCGTGATTGGTTTGGTTCAGGAAGTAGGATAATTATCACAACTAGAGACCCAGATATTCTAAAACAGGCTGTGGTCAATTCGACTTATGAACCAAAGGAATTGGATGATTATCAAGCTCTTCAACTTTTCAGCAAGTATGCTTTTAGAACGGACCATCCCCCACAAGACTATCATACTTTATCTAGAGATTTTGTGCACGCAACTGGAAGGTTGCCTTTGGCTCTTGAGATTATTGGTTCTCGTTTGTTTAGCATTGAAAAAAAGGAATGGGAAGATAAATTAAAGGAGTTGAAAATGATGCCAAACGAAGATGTGCAGAAGAAGCTGCAAACAAGTTATGACGCATTGAATGATATACAAAAACAGATATTTCTCGATATTGCCTGTCTTTTCATTGGAGTGGATACAAGAATTGCTTCCCACATGTGGGAAAGTAATATTAATATTGGAGTTCTTTTGCGCCGTTCGTTGGTAAAAATTGGAGATAACAATGAGCTAGTGATGCATGAACAACTTAGAGATCTTGGTAGGAATATTGTCCGTCGAGATGAAATCAACGATCCAGGAGAACATAGTAGGGTGTGGCTTCATGAGGAAGCCTTCCACATTTTAGAGAGTAGTACGGTAAGATCCAACTCAATAGATGTTCTTTATTCAGAATTAATTTTTTCTGTCTTTTTTTTATTTTTTTAATGTAGGCCCCACCGTAGGTTTGCCAATTTTAGCATTTCTAATGTTAAGAATCTCTAGCAATTTATCCTCCACTCACACGTTTTTGATATTTTCTTCATCTATATCTATCAAACTCATGTCTTTCCACGTTCTTCTAAACTTTTTCTCATGTGTTTCTTTGTGTGATTAAGCATATTAGATAATTATCTTTACTTTTCTAGGTGAGAATTTTACATTCTAATAAATGAGATATGGAATTTGTAAGAAATTCAAACACTTGAAATCAGACAAGGCTTTTTACTAATTTGCATGAGGCCGGTTCTATTGCTCTTTAATTTAGGTGTTTTTTTTTTCTTACTATAGTTTATCTATAAATATGTTTACTAAAAAATGTGAATTTGGATTAGTATAAATTTTGATAAAGAAAGGATTGGGTAAATTAATTCCATTTAAAAAAAAAAAAAAAAAAGATGCTACCACAGTGCAGGTAACATTTTAAGTCAGGAACTTGCAGAGCTAGAGGAGAATCGAATCCACACCCAAGTACTAGAAATGGTTGTCTACCGCTTAGATGCTTCCCTCCCACCAACTCTCTACCCCCCTGGGGACTAATATTAGTTATGTTACTACATGAATACTCTCTTATAATACTCATAAAGTTGAAATAATAACTGGAATTTTCTCAAAGAGAGTGAATATCATCATTTAATACTAGTATATATTATTTATACTCATGTAAAGGTTCTCTTTTGGCAGGGAACAAGAAAAGTTGAAGCTATCTGTGTGAACTTTGAATTAGAGTCACAGGCTAAAGCTCTTACAAATGAAGATTTCGCAAACCTATCTAATCTGAGGTTCCTTCAAGTTGGCAATGCAGAGCTGGATGGAGATTTTAAGAGACTTCTTTTAAAGTTAAGATGGCTACGCTGGAACGGATGCCCTCAAATTTTTAGACCGACCAATTTTCGACTAAAGAATCTGGTCATTCTTGATTTATCACGGAGCGATATCACAGAAGCCTGGGAGGGTTGGAATCGTATCAAGGAGGTTTAATCAATTTCTCTGCTTTTGTTTCGTGTGTCTCATCACATAATTGTTTGTAATTTATTATAAGCTATTCTCTTTTTCCTTATTTTGCAGTTTGCAACAAAGTTGAAAGTTCTAAATCTCACATGTTGCAAAAACATGGTTAGCACTCCTGACTTCTCTGCATATGCAAATTTAGAGAGATTGATTCTTGAAGACTGTGAGAATTTGGATCATATTGACCCATCAATTGGGAAACTCAACAGTCTATTTTTCTTAAATGTGAAGAATTGTACTAAACTCAAAAGTCTGCCTCTGGGATTTGATTCTGTGGAAGAGCTCCTCATCGATGGTACTTCTATTCAAGAAGTCCCTATTGGTAAAGGTGTCAAGAATCTTCAATGCTTGTCACTAAAGGAAAGCTATTTAAAAGAACTTCCGGACTCCATTGGGAAATTAGAATCATTAAATGAGCTGCGCTTGTCAGGAGCAAACTTTACAGAATTACCTGATACCATTGGCAACTTGGAACATTTGAGAATTCTTGAGGTTAGATTCCCGAATCTGAAAGAAATTAAGGACCTTGACAGATTTAAATCCTTGGAATTTTTGGATATGAGTTTGTGTGAATCCTTGGAAAGATTGCCCGACCTATCAAACATGGAAATGCTAGAAGAATTAAAGCTCGTCAGGTGCCAGAAGCTGCATCTGATTGGGGGTCTTAAGGCTATGAAATCCTTGAAGTTGCTGGAGTTGTCATGGTGCACAGCCTTGGAGAGGTTACCTGATTTGTCGAACTCGGAAATGCTGGAAGAATTAATACTCTACCAGTGCGAGAAGTTACAAGAGATTGAGGGTCTTAAAGGTTTGAAATCCTTGAAGATGATGGACTTGTCATCGTGTATAGCCTTGGGGAGGATACCTGATCTGTCAAACTCGGCAATGCTGAAAGAATTAAAGCTCTACCGGTGCGAGAAGCTGCAAGAGATTGAGGGTCTTGAGGGTTTGAAATCCTTGAAGATGCTGGACCTGTCATCGTGCACAGCCTTGGAGAGGTTACCTGATTTGTCGAACTCGGAAATGTTGAAAGAAATGAAGCTCCACATGTGCCAGAAGCTGCATGTGATTGAGGGTCTTAAGGGTTTGAAAACCTTGAAGATGCTGGACTTGTCATGGTGCACAGCCTTGGAGAGGTTACCTGATATTTCGAACTCGGAAAAGTTAGAAGAATTGAAGCTCTGCCTGTGCCAGAATCTGCAAGTGATTGAGGGTCTTAAGGGATTGAAATCCTTGAAGATGGTGGACTTGTCATCTTGCACAGCCTTGGAGAGGTTACCTGATCTGTCGAACTCGGAAATGCTGGAAGACTTAATGCTCTACCGGTGCGAGAAGTTACATAAGATTGAGGGTCTTCAGGGTTTGAAATCCTTGAAGATGCTGGACTTGTCGTCGTGCATAGCCTTGGAGAGGTTACCTGAGTTGTCGAACTCGGAAAAGCTGGAAAAATTAATGCTCCACGGGTGCGAGAAGCTGCACGAGATTGAGGGTTTCAAGGGTTTGAAATCCTTGAAGTTGCTGGACTTGTCATGTTGCGCAACCTTGAAAAAGTTACCTGATCTGTCGAACTCGGAAAAGCTGGAAGAATTAATGCTCCACGGGTGCAAGAAGCTGCATGTGGTTGAGGGTTTCATGGGTTTGAAATCCTTGACGTTGCTGGACTTGTCATGTTGCACCACCTTGGAAAAGTTACCTGATCTGTCAACACTAACAAAGTTAGAGAAATTGCTACTTCATAAGTGTGAGAAACTTGGTGAGATTTTGGGACTTGAAAAACTGAAATCCGTAGAATTGTTGGACATTTCTGAATGCAAGTCACTAAAATGTCCAGACATTTCGAACATCAGAGAAGTTGGGCGTTGAGAGTAAAATTTGCGGAATGTCAGATTTTAGTGTTTAACATTCAACTTGATGGCATGGTAACCATCTCTATTCTGTGCTAATCTATGTTGTCCTTTTATGATGATTTATTTTTTCCCTTAGTTTATTGTTAATTGTGATCTGTTTCTATATATATGTTTCATGCTTAATAAGGAACATCTATTCATGCATGTCAAAAGAATGAAGGATTGAATTCATAATCTCTTGAACTTCGAGATGCCATTTATCTGTTAGGGCTCAATTTCATGTATTCTATCAATCTATGATCTTAGAGAGACAATCTTTGCTCAAGGTAATCTAATACATTTGCAATTGAATGGTGAATTGATTATTTTGAGATTTAAGTAGGAATCTTAGTGGTGAGGGTTTGAGGTCATGTGTTACAGAACAAGCATCAAAGTTTGAAAGGAATCAAAATAATTCCGTAAGATTTGTTTTCTTTCTTAAAATTGTTTGGATCCAGAATTAGTAATTTGTAAGAAATGCATGATTTTTTGTACAGGGGTTGATTCCTATACAGAAAAGTTGAAGTTCATAAACATGCATGTTTGTTTTCATAGATTTTGTGAAGTCCTGAATCAGATCAGTATAAATGTCACTAGTATGCTTACTGCCTAACTACTCTCTCTGTAAGTATTATCGTTGTCTAAATACTAGACTTTTTCATGTGGAGGACTCTGTGGTTGGCTACTTATGTATTTCTTTTTTTTGTCTCCCCAACATATTTATGTAAGATTCCTGATAGTAGCAGGAATTATGAAGATTAAATTTTTTTTTCTAAAATTATTATTTTTTTTATCTGATTTTTGGTGCAGGAAACGGGCAAAGAGTGACAAGACAGTTCCCAACACTCATATTAAAGCCGAAATTTTTTCTCATGGGTATTTTACTTGCCCTATCAACTGTTGATGCTCAAAAAATTGATATTTAATATGCTCAAATATTATATATTCTAATGGTTATATATTCTACTGAATTTTAAATATATGTTAATAATTGTAATATATACCCAACAAGTGCTCAATTCTTGTTTTTGAGAGCTGGGAAGGACCAATATTTCAATTTCTGCTACTATGAAAAGCACACACTTTGTAACAAGGTCTAATGTCTTCATATATATACTAGAAGATTCAGGGCACAACTTAATTAAATCATATTGATTGAACCATATTTTGAATTTTGATGCTAAAAATGAACTTCCATAAAAAAAAAAAAAAAAAACAAACTCATATCGTATGAAATGGTTGTTCTTTTATTCGCTTGTCAAGCTAAAACTTTTGTATGGGTTGCATTTATTTTTGCTAGACCTCAAGTGCTTTAGCACCTCTTTTTTGCAACTAAGAGGAGCTCTCATGCTGCTATATACTCACATTCTTGAAGCCTCCATATTGTTATTGTTAATTCAACTATAAAGACAGCGAGTCAACCCTCATCGATCTTGTATTAATTGCTGATTTTGTGGCTTGAAAGCAGAGTCGCAAAAAGTTACTGGCTTACTGCATGAATTCCTTTATTTTAGTTAACACATTCATGGCAATTAACAGCACATAACAAAGGGAATTTGCACTAATACTTCAAGTTTCCACTCCTAACCAAGTTTGGAGAAATGAAGTGTCATAATTTCTTGATTATTTGAAAAGATAGTAGTTTTTATTTTTTATTTTCTACCTTTTGTTTATTATTGTATGTATTTGATCTTGATATCATACCCAGACTCCTAGCCCAAAGTTTGAAGAAGCTTTGTTCATAACATCTTTGGTGTCGGGCAATATTTCAGATGAGTGGAGGAATTAAAGCTAGTGAAGAAGGAGCAGGAGCACCTGGAGCAAAAGTTATGCCGGAGCTTGAGGGAGAAGGTGGGCTATGAGAAGCAAGAGGATGAGAAGTGGAGGGGTCAGGAAACACAGAGATCAAAGTATATTGTTGTAGCAGTTTGGAAGAAGAGTTGGAATGTTGAAATGAATACCCTCATTCACATGCCATATAAAGTTTAGATCTCTCTCCTGAAGTTTCCTTTGTATCATATGGTACTGATGTTTATGTAAATGTAAAAGCTTGTTTGATTCTTTTGATATAATTACCCATGTAGAGATGCTAAATAAATGCAATGAAGCAGGAAAATTTGAGTAGTAGTATGATTTTGTATTGGTGGTCTTGACCCAATGAAGCAAGAAAAATGTAAGTTACAATCATTTTCAACAGGTGTCAGTCGCTCCCGCTTTCACGATCTGCGCGCGCTGTTATTCAAATTATCACTACTTGAGCGATTTTCACGATCCGCGCGCACTTTTATTCAAATTATCACTACTTGTGATTAAATTTTACCACTCTCACGCTCCCACTTTACGTAATTTGGGTAAAAATGCTTCAAGGTGAGTTGGGATCAGCTGTATGTTTAAACCAAAATCAGACGGTGGTCTTGTCTTTTGTAGGCATAGGTGCTTTTAATACTGCTCTTCTTTCCAAACAGGGCTGTTATGATACTCACGAATCACAACATCCTCCTCCTTGTCCTACGCAAAAATTGTGTGAACTAGTACTTGCTCGCTCTAGAGTATCACTTAATAAATGTTGGGAAAAGAAATCGACCAACAAACAACACCTAACAATATTTGTATAATTAAAATAGAATGTGTTAAAAAAATAAATAATAATAATCATTCACAAAGTGATATAAAGATATATGTGAAAAAACTTGTTCAGAGAAAAAAAAAAAAAAAAACACCGAGAACTAAGGTCAAATTTAAAATTCCACCATGCAATAAGAATGGGGTACATTAAGAAAAAAAAAATAATAATAATGTGTACACAAGTTTCTTCTCTATTCATAAGCTTACCACACCAATATACTCACCAAGTGAATTTCAACAATATACTCAGAGTTTATTACCAAGGTGAACAAAAGAGGATGAACAAAATCTACCATTTTGGAGAGGCAATATACCAAATTATTATTTAAGATTTCAAAAAACAATTATTCATGAGCACCGTCAACATCATTCCAATCAGCCCAACCAAAGGACAGGCCCAATAAAAGGGAATAGCAATCTGGAAACAAAGCCTGTTACAGACATATAAAGGCTAAGCCCAATCTGAATGAAATTCAAAATCAAGTGCTTTAGTCAACGACTGGTAACGAACTCCGGTGGTTGACAGTTTTAGGGTTCAATTGTCCCCAAAACACATTGGAGCGTAAAATTGTTGACCGTAAATCAAATCCATGGATGGGTATGGAGAGGTTTCGCGAATCATCATCTGACGGGGGCAGATTCATAAGCTTCCTTCCTCTTTTTCTCACTGTTTCAAGCCCAAATCAACTGGTAAATTCTCTCTCTTACCCCTATTTCTCTCTCTACAAACACTCACTCTCTCTATATATATATCTGCAAGATATATAACTCATATGTGTATATTTTGTATTTCTATATCACTATATGTTGGGATTGAGGTTTTTTGAGGGTCTGATTGTGGAGGAAGCTTACCTCAGAGGAAGGAAATTACAAGGAACAACCTATTCTCTTCCCCAGGGCTATTCAATAAGCTTAAGACAAGAAAGTCAAGAAGGGGGTGGCAATTATCAAACAAGTTCCACAGACAATAAAATAAAAAAGGGTGTGGAAATTATGAAATTGAAAATTTCATTTCTTCAATGACCACTGATATGGTTCTCGTCATTTTCCTTTCTAACCTCTGAAACTTAACAGGAATTGATTGATCATTGAGCCTCTCAAATCACATATTTGAAATGGATACAGAGAATTGATTATGACTATCTTGTCTCATCACCCTTGCTGCAATTCTAATCATTAGAACCTTTGAACACTTTTCCTTTGAATACTCTTCATTGTCCACCTCTCCACCTGCAGGCTTGGACTATGAAGTGTTCTTGAGTTTTAGAGACAACAATGAGCTTCGCATTGGAGAGAAGATAGGTCCCGAGCTTCTCAAGGCAATACATCACTCGAAGATTTCCATCCCAGTCTTTTCCAAAGACTATGCTTCAAGTAAGTGGTGTCTGCTTGAGCTCACCAAGATGCTTGATTGTAAGAGGACTTTGGGGCAAATCATATTTACCCATTTTCTACGACGTCCAACAGTCTGATGTGCGCAAGCAGATGGGGAGTTACGAAAAGGCCTTCCGAGAACACAAGAAGCATTTTGATAGTGCTGTTGTGGAGGGGTGGAAGGAGGCCTCGAGGGAGGTTGGGGAATTGAAGGGATGGGAAGTTGCCGATAGGTAGGGGTGGCAAAGTTTGACACGATCCGTCAACACGACTCGAACACGATACGAGTTAAACGGGTTTGGGTTGACCTTAAACAGATTCGGATCGACCTTAAACATATTCGGGTCGTAAACGGGTCGACACGATTAATCCGTTTAATTAATCGTGTCGTATTTGGGTTAAGTGATTCAACCTGTGTAACCCGTTTATATCCATTTAACTATATGTGTCATAAACAAATTTCTATTTAAGTTCCAAAATAACTATCTAAACTTATATCTTGTCATTTTTATTCTTTTGTATATTAGAGATTATTTAGTAATTTGGTTAGATTGAAACTTATATTTTTCTAGTATTTAATGTTTGATCGAGTATTATTAATAATTTAAATAATAAAATATTTTATTTTATTAAATAGATCATTAAACGGGTTACACGTGTAACATGTTTAATAAACAGGTCGGGTTAGTATTAAGAGTTTCTGACACGATTATTAAACGGGTCGTGTTCAGGTTGAGCTGTTTAGTAGAATATCCATAAATCGACACAATATGATTACGACTCGGGAACACGAATTGCCACCCCTACCTATAGGTAGATTATGCTATTTTAACTTTTCTGATTATTTTCATATAATGTAAATTAATTTCCTTATTAGCACCAACTATGAACTTGTTTGCATCGGTCCTCTCAAATTAGGCACTAGTTTAACTTAGTTTACAAACAACAATTTTTTACAAATTGGTAATCAAATGAATTTTGAAACTACTTTTTATATTTCAGTTTCTGAGAATAGGCCATTATATGTTTATCATTTTTCCCATACATATGTGACATCATTATGTTTGGCAGGCTTCAAGGAGAACTGGTAAAGAGGGTTGTTTTAGAGGTGTGGGGAGAGCTGAAAAGGAACTCATTGGATGTAAATGAATGCCTAGTTGGAATTTATTATCATGTCGAAGAAATGATGAAATTGTTGAGTGTTGATTCCAGTGATGCAAGGATTGTGGGAATCCATGACATGGGAGGAATGGGAATCCTGTTGGGTTTATTTCCTTCTATATGGAGGAAAGCCCAAGTGGGTTTTATTAAAGCCCAAAACCCAGCCCTTTAGGGTGAATAACCCTAAGGAAGTCAGAATAAAAAGAGAGGGAGGTCAGCCGTAGTTTTTTTCCCAAGAAAGAGAGAAAAACGCAGTTATTTCTCATACTGTCCCGATTTCATCAAAACTCTGATCCCGCTTCGTCCGTGGTCCGATCGAGCTGAAATTTGGAGGAGAGGTTCACGACTCACTGAGTTACAATCTGAACGGTGGAGATCGGATTTTGAGCTCGGGAGTTGGGGTTCGTGCCCGTGAACAATAACCGGGTTTTTGGTATATTCTCTCCAATTCTCTTTGTTTTTGCCAAGATTGGTGATATCTTGATGAGATGTATTGTAACCTCTAATTGCGATTAGAGAAGACTTTGTGTACCCATTATTTGGTTGATAGTGGAGATTTCAACTGGACTAAGTCCTGTGGTTTTTCTTCCTCACACTGGGAAAATTTTCCACGTAAAAAATTGCTTGTGTTCTTGTGGCTTGGTGTGATTGATTATTTTTCTATTATTTTTAGCACATATAAAAGTAGAGATACACTATATTTGCTTGTATATAGG